ATTTTCATGATTTCTTTTCAAATAAGATAAATTATTAATAAAGTTTAATGTAAAAAAAAAAAAATCATCATCATCATCATACTTACAATTCAAAAGTCTTTCTCAAAAACTCTTTTGCCTCATTTGATACTACTTCTGGTATTTCAGGTGAACATGATTGAGATCCAATCTTTAAAATACATAAAATAATAAATATTATTTATTATATTATTCAGGTATAGCCTTTTATAAAGTATAAAAACTTACCCTAAACATGGCCTGCATTTGATTAAATTCAGGGAATGGGTGATCTCCTGTGAACATTTCTACAATTAAACATCCTAAACTCCATATATCTGCTTTGCTTGTATAAGGAGTTTGTTTAACAACTTCTGGAGCCATCCAAAACACTGAACCTTGTAATGAAGGCCTACTCACGGATGTATTTGCCATAATTTCTTTTTTAATTAACATAAATATAAATTAATAAAGTAATAAATAGTATTAGTCAAAAAAACAAAATGAATTACTTACGGTCTTCAACTTTTTTTGAAATACCAAAATCTGATATTTTGACACCTCCCTTATTGTCAACTATAAATAACAAAAATTTTAAAGATTACAAAATGTGTCAATTTTAAATATATATAGATTTATTTATTAATTACCTAAAATGTTAGCGCCTTTGATATCACGATGAATAATATCCTTCTCATGAAGGTAGTTTAATCCTTGTAAAATTTGCCTGTTAAATGACCTAACCAATGTTTCTTCTAATGGACCATAATTATTAAGCATAGTTGCGACTGATCCACCTGGAACATATTCCAAGAAAATATTTAAAGTTTTTTCATCGTGTCGTGACCCTAATAATAATAATAATAATATCAGATGAAAATTCTTTGTTTTAAAAAGAAAAAATCATTGAAGATTACCAAGGTATTGCACAATATTTTCATGATGTAAATCCTTTAAAAGAGTAATTTCTCTTTGTAAAGCATCTAACTGATCAATTGAAATAATACATTTGATTAATGAAAATTATTTTTAGGGAAAAGCCGTATGATAATACTATAATAATCTAATAATATACCATAGATTTCTTTCTCTCCTCATTTGCAGATTGTCCTGTAGGTAATTCAACTTGCTTAACCGCCATTAATTCTCCAGTAATAGCATTAAGTCCTAAGTACACACTGCTAAAAGATCCCATTCCGATCAAAGCGCCCTGCATCCATTTCGAAATTTGGTTATCTCCAACTATATTAAAATAAATTGAGATAAGTTAATGGCATCGCATATAACAAATACATATAAATAATTTTTAAACAGGATTTTCTATTTAACCTACACCCATCTTGTTCAAGTATCAAGTCTTCAAATTCATCATCATCATCATCATCATCATCATCATCATCGTAATCATCATCACAAAATTCATCAAAATTATTAAAATCATTATTATTTTGTTCTTCTACAATTGCTGTTTCTGAATAATCCATAGGTGATAGAAAAGTATTAGCCTTTTCATCATCATATAAATAAGACATTCTTTTCGATTTACGCCTAGAAAATTTAGAAGCGGAGGAAAGTCTTGATGCCCTTCTAACAGAATTTCTACAACTTCGTTCTAATTCTTCACTATTATGTCCGGGAAAATATTCTGTAAGATTCAATGAAATCAGTTCTGAAGGAGGCCGTTGACCAAAAAAATTTCTTAAATTTTTTTGTGATATTCCAACTTGTGATGATGGAGGTTTTTCTCCAAAGAAATTTTCTAATTTTTTATCTCTATTCCGACGTTTTAATTGTTCAAAACTCATATGTACATGCTTCTTGCGTAAAATAAGTCTATCTCTTTCCGATTTATCTGAACTTCTACAAATTTTCACTAATTCTTCATCAGATAAGCTTCGAGCTATGTTATTGAAAAAATAAAATAAAATCAAATAAATGTTAAAATTCGAATAAATTGCAAAAAAAAGTTTTACATAACTTACCTGAACCAGAATCGCTTAAAGTTGTAAATAACGAATATTTTTCAACATCATCATTAATATTAAACTTTTGTAAAACTTTTGCTAAAATAGATTTAGCATCGGTTACATTATTAATATAAATAGTTCGCATTGCACCATCTTCACCGATAACTTTGATGACACGCTAATATAAGGTAAAAGAATTAACAAAATTAGTTTAACTCATTTTATAAGAAAACAAAAAAAAAAAAAAAAAAAAGATAAATAAATAAGATACAGACCTGTTTTACACTTTCTAAGGAATTTGATACTTCGTGATGTTGCTAAATTTAATGCTTTTAGTAAATTATTTAACGTAAAATAAATAAATAAATGAATAAATAAATATATATTAACTTTGGAATGTTGAGGACTCCGTAAAGGATATTCATGATTTTTTCGCGATGAAGTAGAATTAGATCGAGATATGGTGCTTGCTTTTGAACTAGATCTGCTGAGAGATACTGGGAATCTGTCAGAATCAGGCGAATTCAAGTCCTAAAGATTTTTATTTTTTATTAAACAAAATTTCAACAAACAAAAAGTTAACACAAAAAAATCTGAATTTGTAAATAAGTACCTTTGGTAGATAATATTTGATAGGATGAGCATAAGGAGCAGTATTTCCTACGCAGCACTTTAGCAAAGTTTTGACTGCTAAAAGGATCCTAACGCGCTCACCGATTGATCTGATCCTCAATTCTTTGAGGATTTCATGATCTAATTCTAATAGGACATCTCCGTTTATATCGTTTTCTGATTAAAAACATTGGCAAAATAAAAAAAAAAAAGGAATAATGGATAATAAGGCAAAAATAAGGCAAAAATAAGAACAATGGGAAAATAAGTTTTTACCTGAAAATATCTTTTGATATTCTCGAAAATTATTTTCTTGCAGCCAACAAGCTACTTGATCATATTTCCAATTTCTCACGCTTTCAAAAGTGAATCTACAATCAACTATAGGTGACTGAGGCGTGGAATCCATAGGAATTTTGAAAAACGAAAAGGCGTACGTCGATTGGCATAATTTTTTAATATAGTGTATTGTGGTGTAACTTCAACATTTGATGTCCTATGTATTGTAAATCCGTAAATCAGGAAA